CTGCCCGAGCGCCGAGCGCGCACATCGGCGCGCGCAGACCGGCGCAGTAGAAAGGGGAGGGTCAGCTCGTCGCACCCTGGCCCGCCTCTTTTCGACCCTGCCGAGCATCCGCTTCCGGTTCTCAGTCTGAATTGGCGGTGAGCGGAGCCTGAGTTCGCTGGGGACTGCCCACTGGTGAGGTGGTGCGGCGTTTATGCGGCCGAGAGCTGGGGAAAAAGTAGAATGTGGGGCGAGGACGTAGAAGGTGGCTGATCAGGTGAAGGAAGGGTCGATCTGGGGACCCTACCATTACTAATCACATCTAGGAAATGTGGGGCGGTGCCTTGCCTGGAGTCCCTGAGGATAGTTAAGTCAACACTCCTTTAGGCTTCGAAAGTAGATTTTTTTTTTTTTTTTGAGACGGAGTCTTGCTCCGGCGCCAGGCAGGAGTGCAGTGGCGTGATCTCGACGCATTACAACCTCTGCCTCCCGGGTTCAAGCGATTCTCCTGCCTCAGTCTCCCGAGTCGCTTGGGACTACAGGCGTGCGCCACCATGCCCAGCTAATTTTTTGTGTGTATGTATTTTTAGTAGAGACGGGATTTCACCATGTTGGCCAGGATGATCTCGATTTCTTGACCTCGTGATCCACCCAAGTCAGCCTCCCAAAGTGCTGGGATTACAGGTGTGAGCTACCACGCCCGGCTGAAAGTAGATCTTTTTAGACTCAACCCTGATTTCCTCTTCAGGTGGAAATGGTAACATCTGTTTTGCAGGATTGTTCTGAAAAATCAGGTCCTCTTTCTAGAGTACTTGGCAGGTTGCTTGGCATCCAGAAGATGTTTAGCAAAGTTAAGAGTTTCCTTCTTTCTTCTTCCTTCTCTCCTCCAACCTTAACACCTAGATGTGAGCTGCGCCCATAGACTGACTGCCTTGGAATAGGTTGGAGCTGCTTTCTGAAACTTGCTGAGCTACTCTTCCTTTAAACTGCTTTTTGTCTGCTCTGATTCACTCTTCCATTCCAGGGCCTTGCCCGAGATGGACAGCCGGATTCCTTATGATGACTACCCGGTGGTTTTCCTGCCTGCCTATGAGAATCCTCCAGCATGGATTCCTCCTCATGAGGTGGGAACCATCTGTATTCCTGAGTAGGAGATTTTTTTTCCCCCTGGGGCGAGATGATGCATGAAAGGTAGGATGGCAGGGTTAGAAGGCAAAATGAAGAGTGAATCTTAGCACTTGTAGCCAGAGGACCCAGAAGCTGGATTCTGAGCAACAGGACCCACCAGGAACTTCTTAGGGTCTGTTCACACCAGTTAATTCTGGAAATTTGGAGCCTTTGTTTCCATATTGTTAAGAGGTGAAGAAATGTGGAGCTACTGGGCTGTCCCAATGCTATCCATCTACTCATTTAGTCAGTGTTGTCTGTTCTACTTAAGTCTATGACCTTTCCTTTTTCTGACTTCAGGGTGATTCATTAGTGTTCAGGTGAAGGTAAGTGTGAAGTAAGACTAGTAATAAAATTTCTGGGTTGCTGTATCTTGCAGAGGGTACACCACCCAGACTACAACAATGAGTTGACCCAGTTTCTGCCCCGAACCATCACACTGAAGAAGCCTCCTGGAGCTCAGGTGAACTTATGAAGTCTTTTTCTAGGCTAGATTCATCCATACCAGAAGTTGGCAGTGTTGAGGGGATAGATTGGGAAGCAGGTGCAGATGTGAGGAAACTTTCCTTCTTGTGGACAGAAAAGCTGAGATAACACTTGTACAACTTCTGACTTTCCTCTCAGGGACACACAAGCAGACCTATTGCACAATGAGGCTACTAGTTGTTCTTGTGTTTGTTGTCTCTATTGAGCCCCTATTCTGTGCTCTTGTCTTACAGTTGGGATTTAACATCCGAGGAGGAAAGGCCTCCCAGCTGGGCATCTTCATCTCCAAGGTATGTATGCCCAGTAGGCTATATGGATAGTTACTTCCCTTTGTTAAAATAACAGATTGCAGAACCCTAATGTCTCAAGGACTGAGAGGATGACTCAGACTCATAGAAGGAGCATAATGGGGACACCCCCTTTCCCACTTAAAACTTTTCATTTGGCAGGCAATCTGTCTGCATACCTTGTCACAGAAAAACAATAGCACCTTACATTTGAATAGCACCAAATTTCACTGACAGTCTTTTGAAATTATTGCATCCCAATCACATGTATTCGCTCCTTACCAACAGGTGATTCCTGACTCTGATGCACATAGAGCAGGACTTCAGGAAGGGGACCAAGTTCTAGCTGTGAATGATGTGGATTTCCAAGATATTGAGCACAGCAAGGTGAGCACAGCACTTGGGCTGTGGTACTGCAAGAAGCCATCTCAAATAGGACAGATTGGACCGGAGTAGCCTAGTCTGTAACTTAATAAGAAAGCATTTTGCTGGGCACTGTGGTGCGCGTCTATAATCCCAGATACTTAGGAGGCTGAGGCAGGAGGATCACTTGAGCCCAGGAGTTTAAGACCAGCCTAGGCAACATAGCAAGACCCTATCTCAAAAAAAAAAGAGACAAAGTAAGTACCTCTCCTGTGAAAGTGTACCAAAGGGAAGCAGCTCTTAGTGACAGAGAGATTGGAGTGGCAAATCCTTTTCCCCCATTATGATTCTGTCTTGGGTCATATTTCTTCATTTGTACAAGCTGCTGTGTTGCTTCCAGGCTGTCGAAATCCTGAAGACAGCTCGTGAAATCAGCATGCGTGTCCGCTTCTTTCCCTACAGTAAGTGTCACTTTCTTTTTTCACTTTCCTGACAGGACCCTACGTAAGAACTCTTTCATTTCTGATTACTAAAGGCCCTACAAGTTGGGGATAGGGAATCAGGAGCTCAAGTGTGAAGATAACCTGCTCTATTCCTCCTTTTCTTCTTCTTTCCTTCAGATTATCATCGCCAAAAGGAGCGGACTGTTCACTAGAGAGTGCAGCCCACAGCCCTTCATGTGGAATCTGCTACGACATGCTAACTAGACTTCAGGGGAGCTACATCTACTTTCAGCCCTTCCCTGTAATAGTGGAGTTGGTAGGATGGGGAAACAGCTAACCAACTGCATTACCCAAACTGTATTGCACTTTTAGTTCCCTACTTTTCTAGGTGAGCTTCATTTCCTGAAAGGAGAAGGATGATGATATCTAGGCATAACCTAGCCTATGAGGAATGTAGTTAGGAAAGACAACTGACATTTATTGAATACCATGTACTAGTCCCTTACACATGTCACATTTTAATTATAGAAATCAGTATCAAAAAGAATCTTGGGGATTTCCCATCTGACTTGCTTGGCCATCGCATCCCATCCTTGTACTACCAGAGGTTTCATACACTTTGGAGACTCCAATGAGACCGTTTTCACCCCTTCCTCCTCTTAGCCTCTCCCCGCAAAAGTAAAATACAATGCTGAAGAAATATTGGTGTGACTTTTGAATGCTACCGATTGGATGTCAAATGCTACAAAGGGAAGAAAAAGCTCTTCTAAAGAGAGGAGCCACTGGAAGGAACAGCAACACTATACCTACCTCACAATTACCTATGATGTCTGGCCAGAACATCAGGGAGGCCAAGGAACTTTAACCACAGTATAACCAAGGAATGGCATAGAGTGAGGGGAACTGAAAAAACTGCCCCTTCACCTTCAAGCTTTGAACATTTTTCTGCAGGGACCAGTATTAATATAATTCTCTCTTCTCCTTTCCCACATTCTTTTATCTGGATCATAAATGAAAGAAGGGGCTTAGATGCATTTCTTTTCTGAAGCATCAGTAATAAATCGGTTCCCAGTTTCCAACTTGTAAGTTGCATAGTACTAACTGCTGACTTCTCCCTTTTCTTTACCCCAGCCCCAAATAATGTTCTGCCATGTTTTTAGATGTTTAGTTACAAATCCACCATAACCAGATTATCAGTTACAGCTATGCCATTGCCACTGGCATGTTCAAAATACACATGTGGAATTTAAGGTTTTCTAGTATGAGGCTGGGGGCCGTGACTCACACCTGTAATCCCAACACATTGGGAGGCTAGGACACACGGATCCCTTGAGGCCAAGAGTTTGAGACCAGCATGGCCAACATGGTAAAACACTGTCTCTAATAAAATTAGAAAAATAAGATGGATATGGTGGTATGTGCCTATAATCCCAGCTACTTAGAAGGCTGAGGCAGGAGGATACTTTAAAAACGGTAGGCGGACATTGCGGTGAACCTAGATGGTGCCACTACACTCCAGCCTGGGTGAAAGAATGAGACTGTGTCTCAGATAAAAGATTTCTAGTGTGATATGGGGTGACGTACCTGAAGGATGCAGGACCAAAATTTGCCTTGAAAGAATCATGGGGAATTTAAATATATATTTATAGGCCCTTCAACTGGACAATGATTCTCTGGCTCTGAGATGCACTCTGGATATCTGGATTTTTAAATAAGCAAAGTATATAAGTCTTCAAATATGTGAAACTATGTTCTAAATACTAGTACTATACTGTATAAGGAAGTTCTGGTTCTACCTATATATCCGACCCCAGCTCTACTGAGATACCTCTTCTAGAGCCTCAGTGCTATTGTTAGGTGGCAACATCCCTTGACAGCAGAGCTGGAGGTAGAATTAATGTAGCTGTCTCTATGCTTCCTGGGAAATCCTGTTCTATGCTCCTATCTGCTGATCCCCACCCAATGCCATTGGCCACGAGAGAAAGAAAACAGTAGCTTGGTTACTTCCATAAAGGCACACTGTCTCACTCGGCTGAATGCTGACGTCCAAGACTATCCCTATGGTTAACAGGTCAAAAACAATTCATCTGAGAAGACCGAAAACCATGGTACAAAGTCCCATCCAGGTTCCAGGGGCCTAAGAGGCAGAAACCCTCCTTCCGTAAATTGGTTCTCAATTGAGACACGTGGATTGGTTCTGTTGGGGCACCAACAGGAGATAATTCCATTGTGAAAATATAGGTACAGTGTGTAGAAAGCACAAGCAATAACAGCCTTAGGTTAAAGGATCAGTCATTTATTGAGGGTGTAGGTGAAAAACAACAACAAACAGTGGAGATTGAATTCTTTCTGCCTTCGAAGTATGTCAGCTGCTGTAGAACTATATTCTCTACAGGTGCCTTTTACCCATCTGAGAAGGTAAGGTAGAACTGCCAGGCGCCGCAAGAAGCTTCTACCCAGTAGCTGGGAGACGCAGTCAGAAAAATACGATAGCACTGTCAGAGGTTCCGTTTTTACCCCAAGGCTAGGAATTGGAAGCCAGGAAGCGGCCACGTTATCAGAAAACGAGCTGGGGGAGAACTGGTGTGGCAAGGCCAGATGCAGGAAACCCATGAAATGAGGCAGAGAAAGCCTAAGCTGTCACTTCGAACAGTAGTTTCTGTTGCCTGACTCCTCGAAGGGCTCCAGTTGGATTTCAACTGCTGAAGCCTGTGTTAAGGAAGCTAATACAGTGAGGTGACTGGAGTCAAATCTCAACACCCAGGGCCAGCTTCTAGGAGATGTAGAGGAGGAATTCTGATCTTACAATCCCCCTCGCCTAAAGGCAAACCAAGGAACTACTTTGGGCTAAAGTTACTGCAAACTTTAAGTACCACTCAGGAAACCCTTAAGTACCACTCAGGTATCAACTCAGCAAAGGAAACTTACCTTCCCTACTTGTATACTCCCTACCCCAGCAAAAGTGGGAAGAAGGATACTCCCCTCTTTTGGTGGAGGTGAAGTACTTGTGGAAGGAAGGGCCGAAGCCACACACCGGAACAGCTGTGTGTGTGTGTGTATGTGTGTGTGTGTGAGTGAGAGAGAGAGAGAGAGAGAGGTGACAAAAAAAGAAAGAAAACAAGGTCAGGTTCAGAGGCTGGGATAATTCAAGGCCTTTGGGCTACATGATGGAGATGAACCTTGCCCCCCACCCCACAAAGCACAAGCCAAAGGTATCCCAAAGAGTAAACAGTGGTGGTAGCTACAGACAGAGTGCAATTCAAGTAACATGAAAAGAAACAAATATTACCTTGTCCACGTTGTAACTGGTTTTGGCACTGGTCTCAATAAACATCACATTGAGGTTTCTGGATTTTTCTTCACCCTCTTCTGCAGTGACTTGCCTGGACAAGTTAGAATTGATGAAAAGGACAAGAGTTAGTGGATAGGGTTACAGTCTTCTGAGGTGTAATGATGCTTACTTAGAGCAAGGAACCCTAGAGGCCTTAAACCTATGATCCTTCTGATTACAGCATGGGGACTCTCTCCTCTACCCCCCACATATCCTCGTGCCCTAATGGGATGTGTCCTCGTCCTTCCCCTCCTGCAGTGCTGCTGGGGGGCACAGGGAGCCAGGGTAACTCCTCCCCAAATAAATCGAGCACAGTCGACCCTCCCCATAGAGAGAGACTGAATTTTAGGTATGCCAGAAGAAGTTGTAGTTATACTTTACCTTTCGTTATTCAAATCAATCTTGTTACCCACCAACATGATGACAACATCGTCACCTCTTTCTGCTCGAACACGTTCTACCCACTTATCTGTCTCCTTAAAAGAATTGATGTCTGCAAGAGAACATGTGGCAGGGTGTTGAAACATTTAGTAGAGATTTGGAGGGAACCATTCCTCTCTGCTAACTGTATCAATCTCCCTGTCACTTCCTTTATAATCCCCTTTTCAAATAAAACGTTGCACAACACCCACTTGTGACGTCATAGACAACCACTGCAATAGTTGAACCACGAATGTAGCTAGGAATCAGGCTGTGAAAGCGCTCCTGGCCAGCTGTGTCCCATAGCTGCAGCTGAACCTGCATAAAACAAATGTTTAGGAAGAAGATGGGGAAACGTAGAAAAGAACCTAGCCTTTGCAAAAAGATCAAACCTAGTAAAGGCAGATTATAAAAAGTCAGGGAGACTGGGTCCCCGAGAAGCGGCTGCTGTGGCCTGAAACCAAGTGGCCTATAGTCCTAGGACACGTGCAACCAATTTTAATATACTGATTTGATTCAGGAAGACCCCACAGAAGAGCAGATTTAAGGATTCAAGGTCTCTTGCACTTTATGGATGTTACAATTGGAGATGAGATGAAGGCAGACAGAACAAGAGACCTCGTCGGGCTTGGTAATCTGAGGAGGCTTCCGTTGTTTTGATGGTGCTACCCTACTGTGATGAATAGGCTGAAGGGGCCGAAATGCAGGGTTAGTGGTATGAGCGTTAACACTCACTATTCGGTCCTCCAAGTACATGTTCTTAGACAAGAAGTCAATTCCAACAGTTGCCTGCAAAAGAAAGTCAGGTACTTTCCAGCATTCCCTCTATTCCCAACATGAGGCAGTCTTAGAAGCCGAAGCGGAGAATGACCGTTTAGGAAACGTCCTGGCTCCACTTCCCAACCCGTACAATACATAACCTTGAGGAGGAGAACCTCCAGGTGAGTCCGCCAAGAAGAGGGGCAAAAATGTACCATATGGCTCGGCGGCGGGCTTACCTGGAAGGTACAGCCGAAGCTGTCGTACATGAAGCGGGTGATGATGGATGTCTTCCCTACTGCGAGGGAGATAAGCAGGCCAGTCGTCACCCTGGGTGCCCTGTCTCCCCTCAAAGTTTCTGTCAGGCCTCCCTCCTCCTCCTCCCACTCCAATGTTTCCCAACGAGGAGGCAAACTCGATTCCCCGGAGAAAGCCCCACCCCATTGACTACCATTCACACCTTCCTGCCCCCAAAGCCCAACCCAGACCCACACAGCTCGGGTCTCCCAGGAATACGAGTTTAGCTTTGCACGGAGATTGGTATTCCGGTCCTTCGGCAGCCTTGAGGCCAAAGTCTCCGGCCCCCACCCAGGCCTCGCGGTGACCGAAGGCAGACATCGCGTCAGGTAGGTGGCAGCCAAAATGGCTTCCGGCGCTCGACCTGTGCCATCTGACGTCACGCGGCGCTCGACCGACGTCGGCTCACGGCCATTGGCTTGGCACCGACGCCTGGGCGTGGTCACGCCCCCTCGGCCCCCTCCTGGCAGCTCGCGCTGCTCCTGGTGCTCAGAGCGATCCCATGACCGTTCCAGTGGGGTCATGGGGTGGAGACAGGGATGGCCACTGACCGTGTCAGAGAGAAGTGGGGGTCAGTGTAGGGGAAAACATCGGCTAAGTGTACTGTAAACACAGCGAACGGGTGGGGGAAGGGAAGGCCATTCTCAGTAGTTCCATGGCCCTCCAGTTGGAGGAAATAGGCAAGAGATCACCAGGCACGTCTGAACAAGCCGATTTATTAGAGTGTTACAGTGGGGGCTCCCACACAGACGGGCACCAGAGCAAGCTCCTCAGCTCCCCTGGTCTCCCTCCGCCTCCAAAGGCTTCTGGCTCTCCTCCTCGCCTTTCCGTGTGAACTCCTCAATGACTATGTCCTCAGAGCTTGCAGAAGCAGCAAAAGAGAATGCAGGGTTAGGAACCCCTTTCTGGGTGTCCTCGGTGTCCACTGGTTTTTCTTGATCCCAGAAAATTGATCGCCTCCTTTCTTTCTAGCTAGGCCCCCTCACCCGCTCTTGATGCCCCCCATCTTTCATCACCCACTCTGGCTTGTTTCCTTTCATTCCCACCCAAATTTCCCAGCACTAGATTTTCCCAGGAGCACTGGAAGGGAGATAAGGATGAGGAGTGGGAAGGCAGAAGGTATCAAAGAATGAAAGACGAAAGGGACCGGAAGGTGGGGCATGCAGAAAGGGAACAGGGGGCCTATGAAAAACGCCGAAGTGTGACATGAAGCTAAGCCGTATGTTTACCCTGGACCTGTATTTAAAGCACCAATGGAAAGGATTTTCACATTTCCATTGTCATAACATGGAGAGCGGCAATGGGAAGAGGGGAATGGGGCTTCCAAGTCTCTCCTATGCCATTTACCTAGCGGCCTCTGCAGCAAGCATGGAGAGGGAGGGGAAAAAAATTGGAGCTGAAGCTGATTCGGGGTTCTTCAGTTCCCTGAAGAAGTATCTTTACCCTTTTCCCTCCCTTTCCAATCCTTCCTCCCCAGCACACAGGACACACACACTTTCCCTGAAAACCTAGATACCCAGCCTGCCTATTGCTATTCCATCCACAGCCAACTGCTCGTCTCCAAGTCATCAGATCAGAATGCCTTGGAACCTCAGCCCTCAGGAAAACCCTTCCTCTGAGTTTCTCCTGATCACTCACCATGAGATGGCTTCGGGTGGATCAGGACCAAAGGTAGCTCCACACCAACATCACTGCAAGGATCCCATGTGGAGTGACATCTCATCTCTCTACAAGCCCAACCCTTGAACCTCCCTCTCTTAGATATCCAGTCTTCGGATGCCCTCAGACGCTCCCTTGTCCACCTCTTCTTGCTCTTGTCCCCCCACCCCACAGTCTCTTACCTGGCTGTCAGGTCTCCTAGGATGCTGTTGGTAGAATGACACCCAACATTATTAGCAGCAAATAGAGAAGGGGCAACATAGTTTTAATAGGGAATGATGGATCATAAACCCTAATGAGCCAAGTACAGAATGCTTTTCTGGAAGGGAAAGTGACTCGTTCGCTGAGCTCACAGGTTTGGGAACCTGGTCTGTGAGAAGGGGTGAAGAATGGTTTGATTGGGTCAATCTAACTGGGAGAAAAAGGGAGACGAAAAGCCCTTAACTCCTTAGCCCATGCCCAGACAGACCCAGAACCCTCACTTACCCGCCACAGGACACCATCAGGTTGACTCTGACTTTGTAGGACACCAGGATCCCCAGCAACTCTTTGTCCATTCCTGGTCTAATACTGGAGGGTGTAGTATTCATTTGGGGGTGTGTAGGGGCATTAGGAGAATTCATTCAGTCCCCAGTTTCTTCTCATGCGTTCCCATCACCACACCGTATAACATTTAGTCTTCTCCCAGAATATCTCCCAGGCTCTAGGCTCTCCTCCCCATGGAGACCACATTTCTCTCCCTAACATTCAGTTTTACCATGTCACCCTCTGCTCAAGAGCCTACCTTTTGAATACAACAACTACTCTGCCTGATTTTCAAGACCCTAACAATCTTGCCCTATCTAGCCTCTCTAACCTTTTCTGTCCTAACTGCTGGATGCAACCTAAGCAGACCCATCTTCTCTCTGTGATCAGAACATGCCATGTGGATTCCCTTCCTCTAGCCTTTGCCCATGCTGTGTTCCCAGTATATAATGCTCCCTTTCTTTTCCTGTTGGTAACCAGATCCTTCACATATTTCAAGATCTAGCTCGTTCTACCTCCTCCAGGGAGCTTGGGAGAAATCTCATCATTGCTCTGTGCTGCTGATCCCTTACATATAAACGAATGCTGCTTGGATGATTTCTAAGGATATTTGCAGCGATAGTAGTCTATAGCTGCTTGATTGGTAAGCCATGGTGGGAGATGGAGGGTTCACACTTAAAAGATGCTGGCAGGTGATTTTTGCTGGGAGACAGATGTAAGGCTACGGCCTCTGAGGGACAGGACCAAGTGAATGACTTCCTAGGATTCTATTAATTTCTGTTGCATCCTTTTCCTTTGGTGTCCTCCTTTTTCTCCATTTCTCATCTCCTAGGCTTCTACTGCATTTTCATCTTCTCTAGAGATTAGATAACGTAGAGATCGCAATATTCAGAGCCGGAGGACATGTGCTAAAATCCTGTCTGACTCTACCTTTTATCAGCCATGCCATCTTAAACCCGTTTCTTCTTCTTTCTGAGATTTAGGGTCCTTAAATGTCACCGGGAGTAAGATCATCTATCCAGGCTATAGTGTGATTCTCACAAAGATGACCCATTACATATGTAGGACATCAGTGAACTGTGAAATCTTATACAACGTAAGGATTGTTCTTCTCTCCGTGTTTTCCTTTCTTTCCACCACTGACCTAAGCCTGCCGTTGGTCCCTTGGGCATTATTGAGCTTGCTGCTGGCCCTGGATCCTGGAGAGGTTTGTGAGTACTGCCCTAGAGACAGTTTAAAAACAGGTAGGCTTCACTGAAAATGAAACCTCGGAGCTGTATACATAGCATGTGGAATGGTCGAGGGGTAGGAAATGGAGCCTGAGAGTTACATTTGAGCTTACATTGTGCTAGAGGCCAGGTTGGTATCCTCATGCTTGAGTTTCCCATCCAGTGCCAGGCCCCGTTTCTGGCAGCTGGCAGCCAGGATTGGGGTTACTGCAAAGCTTTGGGAGAAGTTGGAATTAGCAGCTACCGTCTCCCTTTGAAAGATGAACAAGAGAAGGATTTAGACTGGGTTTGCCTACTAAGTACACTTTCACTCCCAAGAGTATCTTGTACCAGATTGTACAAGAACCTACTGGAGTATCCCAGAGACGTAACATGTTTAACTGTGAAGACTGGGAGAAATTCATTCAGATGGGAAATGCTTATGCTTCTGCCCTCGCTCAGCATTGTGATGGGACTCCTGGGGGTAAGGTTTGTCCCCTCCATCCCTTTGTCTTGGGAATCCCTCCCATTCTGTACTATAACCTTCATCTTGAATTTCCCCATTCTTTGGAACTTCCCTCCCTTTTGTTCTTCCCACCTTCTCACCCACCTAGGGACCTCTTCCCAACACCCCACCCTTTGGCTCTTTGAGCCCAGCCCCAGTGCCAGCTCACGTGAATTCCTGAATGAACACAGTCTTGGAGTACTTGTCTAGGGAATACAGGACAACATCAGTGACCTGGTCGACTGAACAAGCCGGGAAAAGCACGTGATTATAATCAATCAGTCATGTTTGAGACCCCAGCTTACTGTCCTTAGAGGTGACCTTACACAGGTACACAGGTACACTATACGTCATGCAGCATGATGTGGTTAGCGACAAAATGAGACGTGCATTTTGACAGGTGTGTGATTGAGGGAAAGCTTAGAGGAATGCACACAGGTAATTGGGGCAGAATTGTGGAAAAAGACCCGTGGCTTTGGGACCAGGTGCAGAGGGATGGGAAAAGAAACTCACCGGAAATCTTGATTTTTTTGATGACCTTGTTGGTGGAGTTGTTGATAGAAACATTGACAGAGATGGGTTCCCCGTGGTAGTGAACCTAAAGCAGAAGGAGGGACCCACGTCAAGGCTGGAGGAAGAATGCACAGATGGAGACCTATAAACCCTGTTTCCTTAGCACTCTTGCCGCCCTGGCTCCCATCTCTGTTTGCCCAAGTAGGAAATCAGTGAAGAAAGGGCATCAGAGGGCGTGCTGGGGTAGGAGGCAGGAAGTGCGGGTCACAAACCTCCCTGTCCATCCAGGCCTGGAGTTGTAGGGGCTGAGCTGACAGAAGGAAGCGACGGACGGTCTGGGCTGAGGGGCCAGGGCCTGCCTCCGGTGGCGCAAATTGTACTTTCCGGATAACCAGTCGCACATAGTCTCTGAGCAGAGACCAACAGATCAGCCAAACATCTTCCTTTCAGACCCACAGACCTCTCCCATGCCACCCCCATAGCCCAACCCTTGCTTAAGAATGGGAATAGAGGAAGCCCGCCCCCGCCCCCGCCTCAGAGAACTCCTCTAGACCCTTAATGTAATATGTAGACCAAAGGTTGGTAAACTATGGCCCACTGGCCAAATCTGGCCTGTTGCCTGTTTTCCTATGGTCCAGGAACTGAGAATGGTTATATTATATTTGTCAATGGTTGAAAGAAATCAAGGAACAATAGTATTTTACAACATATGAATATTACACGAAATTCAAATTTCAGTGTCCATAAAGTTCTATCGGACACACAGCCACACTCACTCATTTCTGTACATCCTGTGGCTGCTTTTGTGCTACAACAGCAGAGTTGGGCGGTCGCAACAGAGACTACACGGCCCACAAAACACAAATAGTTATTTTTTGGACCTTACACAAAAGTTTGCTGACCCTTGCTGTAGAGCAAGAAGAGAAGTCAGAGGGGACTGAGAAACGGGCATCACTGGTGGCGACGATGCTCTGGGGGTTGG